CCATTCCTTTCTTCCAGTTGTTAAATAAAATCCTTCAATTCTAGTTATAGTTTCCCATATAATTGATCATTCCATGCATCCACGCCCAGAATATCTACTATAAATGATGAATTATTAAATGACCACGAAGCATTATCACAAGGGGTATCTGTTGTAGTTTTATTGCATTTTTCTTATCTAATGGCTGCTCCGCAATTTGTATTTAATATAACCTTTCCATGTTTTATAAAAATAAGTATTCTTGAAATTTTTCATTTTTTGTATAACTATTCAAGGCATACTCACATATCTTGTCAATGAATTCTTTTATAAGCCAAATCAATCATTTCCAATAGCTTCCTTTATTTAATAAATTTAACATTATTATCTTTCAATTCATCCGCAATTATATTTTGTGTTACAAGATGGAGAAAATCTCGAAATTCTACATCTATTATTAAATTTTATGAAGGATTTTTGCATATTGTTTCTAAAATCTTCCATCTAAATAAAAACACATTAGGTATTTTTTTTGTAGAACCATTTTATTGAATTCATGTTTATAACAATTATTTTCTACTTCAAAGAAATCCTTCCCAACTCTGAGCTGTAGAAATTAGGGCTCTTCATTCAGAATCAGAGTCTAATATTTAAGGAAGCTTGAACATTCATCAGCATTTTAGTATTTTGCTTAAGTGTGCATTCCAATAACAGTATTAATCTACTGAATTGTTAATAAACTCAATTGAATTTAAATGGCATTTACAATCACCCATTTTTAACACGATGTAGTCCATCTGAGATGCATCGATGTGAAATATGACAGATTTTTCATATAAATTAATTCTCTATCATTAGTCTCCTTTTTCTAAAGTAAATTCTTTGTTTTTGAAAAAATTAAGAATATTTTCATCATCTTTATAAATAATCATCCAAAATCTTATAAAATAATATGTAATTTTTACTTCTTTTTTTTATTGGTTAAATAATGTAAGTTCTAGCAACATTTGAAAATTATAGGTTTATTAATCGTAAGAGACTAAATGACTTGCTCCTTAGATAATGTAAAATTTAAATAATATTTATTAATTTCCCTATTTATTTTAAAAGTAGCTCTGAAGATGATGATAAATTAATTTGATTTCCTAATAAAGTTTAAAGATATCAATTTGATATTCCACAATTTTATAGATTTTTATCTCATTTTCCAAATATATATCAATTAACGAATCCTCATAGTATTTACTTTCTAAAGTAGGTAGGTTTGAAAATTATATTCGTAAATAAGTAGAAAGTCAATCCAAGAAACTATAGATATCATATAAGATTGATCATGCTCTAATTCCAGAACTTGTAATAATCAAAATAACAATATTTGTGTTCAATTTATTTATTTTAATATTTTTGCGTCATTATTTAAGATTCTCATTAAATAAATTATTAAATCTAAATATAATTATATTCTTATATATAATTAATTTATTTAGTTCGAGTAAATTTTTAACTTTTTTGAATTTAAAGAGAGTAACAGAGAAAATAAAATATTTAGACTTCATAGTTTTAGTGATAGCAAACTCCTTAACTTTATTAATTTTCATTGGGGAATAAAAAGGAATAACCTAATATTTCGATGAAGCTAGATATGGTTAGGTATTTCAAGAAATTCCTTTTTGCAAGGTTCGGTATTTAGCTTATGAGTTACTATAATGCATTTAGGATTTTGGGTATCATGCGAGCTTGCCATCTGAAAGAATTGAAGATGATGTATTGCACTATTTATGTGATGCATTTAAAGATATTCATAAGATGTAGGATTGGGGTTTCTTTTTTTTAATTATTAAAAGAATCAAAAATTTTACAATAATTATTGGTTATTTGCTATTGTAAAAGAGATATCTAAATTGGATGATTTAAAAAATAGATTATTATAGCATCAATATGGAATGAACAATGAGTTTAAGGATCCAATAAATGTTAAATCAAATATATTTTTTATAATTTTGGTTAATGAGTAATTCAAATAAAAATATTTATGAATAAGAATTATTGTTTAATCATAATTTATTATAAATCTTAATTTATCATATTATATTATAAGATAAATGATTTCTTTTTTAATGGATTGTAAACTAATTTTAAAATGAAAGATTTAAATAAAAAAGAGGTTAATAATATGAATAATCAATTAAATTCAATTTTGAAAAATTACTCATCATTTAATTAAATTTATTTAATTTTATAAATGAGACATAAAATCAAAATAAACAATTCAAGTAGTCAAATTTACTTATTCTTGACCTATTAAATACTCCTTTATTACTGGAAATAATCCACCAAATTTACTAGTTCAAGAGTTCTTTTTTAAAATCTAATTAATTCTGTTTTTCCGTTAATTAAGATAGAAAGGAAAATAATGAGATCTTACTTTAAATAAAGGTATTATATAAAATTATTATTGAGTTGACTGTTGTATTAATACTAATAAGATAATGTCCCTCTAATTCAAGTAATTAACTAGTTCTTAAATAAATTGATTGAGAAGAAAGAGAAAAAAATGATTTTGCCATGCCTGATGAGAATTAATCTAAGATCAAATATGGCATCCTCAAAAAAAGCCATTTTTATAAAAATTGGGTATTTCAAGGTAAATCTAAGATAAAATATTTAATTTTTACGAAGCTTTAATTTTCAAAAACAGTGTTAGGTCTATCAATCTTTAGTAGCCTTCGAATTTTTTCTAAATCAAAGGAATAATTAAAGAAATTTAGAGAAATTCCTAGAAACTGCTATAACGTTATATAAACCTTGATAGAATGATTTAGAAGGAATTGATTAATTGTCTAATTCTTCCCTTCAGAACCCAATTATATATTTACATGAATAACTTATAAGATAGTTTCTTTGCTAAATAGTATCAAATTTTTTATTAAAAATAATTTTAAACTAGGCACAAATAAAATTTTCGAAACTTTAGGTAATAAAAAGTTGTTACTTGAAATGTAAATTTTGTTAAATCTATCAAATTTGTTTTTTAATTTGAATAATAAATATTAAATAGAATATCTGATGATTTTAGATCAGAGTTATTAAGACTTTTTATGCACTAGATTCACTATTAAACTAATTAATTAAAGTAAATTCTCATTTATTTATAAATAAAAATCTATATTAGAATGTTCTAAAACTACAGATTTCGTCTTTGAATTGATAGGTTCAAGGATTAGTTTTCTCGAAGACATGCCCCCGATAAATTTATCTTCAAATACTAAAACCTCAGAACCAACATTATGAAAGTATCTCAAAACTCTTTTCAGCTCGGCTATGAGTTTCCATCCCTAAACAGCCTTTTCAGTTTTACATTTTGTTATTGGCATGGATTATTTTGAATAAAAAAATTAATACTATGCATATTAATCAACTTTTAAATAATTAGAGTGTTTGTGATTTACCTTACCTCCAATAAGTGTATTAAGCTTGTATAAATATGATTTCTTGTAAACAATACTATCATAATATTCAAAATGAATAGCATTTTTAATGCTATTAATTGCACTATTTGTTGAAAGAAATTTATGTGCAAATTCCAATTTTTCCTATTATTGATATTAACTCAGAGGATTGAACATGATAAACATTCATTAGTTTACTTTTTGTTAAAGATGAGAGAAAATATAACATTATAAGTTAATACCTCAAATTTCATTTCATTTAAATAATGAATTATCATATTTTAAATATTATTAGTAGAACTAAAAATTGAATATTTTAAGTAGCCTTTAAATCATCATATAATAAATTAAATGACTGAATGTCATAAAATAATTAGAACATTATTAATAAATTATATATTATTACCTCTTTTAAGTAGATACTGCAATATTTCACTAACAATTCACAGTCGCATCATTCCATTAATTAACATATCCAACTACTCCTTTTGGCAATTCTTCATTTTGACCAAGAATAGGATTAATAAGCTTGTTTTAAGAAAAGGTTATGTTCTGCAAAAAAGCCCCAAAATATTCAATATTTAGTCTATCTATTTATTTAAAGAATGCAACAAAAAAAATACTTATTTATTTTTGGAATTAGTCTTAAAATTTGAGAATTTCAAAAACACTACCTATCAAATTATCATCTATAATTTTTAGGGAGTAATCCAAAAATATACTTTTTTTTATAAATTTAAGAAGTGATTAAACGTCTTACTATTTATGTATCTGTATGTGCTATATCTCCTCTTGTAGAATAGGTTGCTTATTTGCAAGTTCCAAATTTCTTCTCTCTTCCATTTTAATCTACATGTTCAATGCATAAATTTAGACTTCATCTATTTACTATAAACAAAAATTCATGAACATATATATTATTGCCAATTTTTTAATTTCACAACTTTAAGTTTTTATTCTTAAGTTTTCAAAATTAGATATAGTCCTTTTAGTTCTAAATTTAAATAATCATTAGACTATAATTTATATTAGCCAACCAGATTCGATATTTATTTATTGGTTTGCATGTTTTAGGCCTAAAAATATTTTGTTCAATGCTCATCACTTTCAATTCTCTTAAATATTATAAATAAAAAAAATGAAATATTTCTATTAAGTAAATAATTACTCAGAGAAACTAAAAGAAATAGTGAAATTTCATATAAGTTTTCAATTCACAATGAAATTAATGATTTTAAATAATTAAAATTTTAAAGAATTTTATAATAAAAGTCTATATTGAAGTATTCCAAAATCATTTCATTAACGTATTCTCAATTAATAGAGTCAAAGATAAACAATAGGTTTATGATTGCAACTAAATTATTAAGTAGAAAAATCTCTACATTGATTTTTTCTTTAAAGAATTTAAATTCAAGAAATATTAGAATCATCATCAAAAAAATCCTTCTCTTTTTTCAACTTAAGCATCTTGAAGTCAGAAATAACTTATATTGCTTATGAAAGAATAGAAAAATAATTATTATTTTAAATAGATTAATGAATTCTAATACTTATAATGCATCATTTATTTCATTTATACTATATTTCATATATCTCATAATTCATCTTATTTTCTCCCCAATATATTAAATATTATCCATTGTTTGTAACCGTTCCAAATATGCTCTAATGTTGGCAATCTAATTCCTAAAAAATTGATAATTATCCATCATTTTGAGCTTTAAGTAAGATAATATTATTTATATGTCTTAAGCATATCAAATTTTATTCTGTAATGTATATTATTAAGAAAGATAAATTGACTAATCCATCCCTATTTTTTTACAATTAAACTTCCTTCTCTAGAATTTCTTGAAATTGACTATCTTTTTGTTAAATACAGATAAAAAATTGGCTGAATAAGGCACCCATATGAATTAATCTTCCTTTATGAATTTAACATGGATCCCAATATCTTCAATTGATTATTTAACAACATACTAAAAAACCCACTTATTATTTGCATCTTTTTACCAAATTATAGTTAATTTATCATTTCCACATGAAACCAACACTCTTTCTTATTGATTTAAACTTAATAACCTGACAGAACTAGTATGTTTTTATAATGAATAAAGAAATGTTAATTGATTATTAATAAAATCTATTCTCAATACATTTATCATAGAATCTCCACGACCTGAAATTTATTAATCTTCATTTTATGTTAAGATTATACAATAGATATATTTTTTATGCTCAAATTATGGTTTTGAACTTTACCATTGATTGTTGTTCAATTATTTCGATAATATAATAGATCCATCTCCTAAATCAGAAATAAAACAATTCTTAATTTTACTATATACTAGGTAATAAACATTATCTTAATGTCCTGAAAGTGTTTGAACTTATTAAATTTTTCCATTTTTGAAATTCCAAATTATAATTTTGTTTCCACAAGTTGAAACCATAATCTTCATTGTTGAATCAAATACAATAGCATAAAAAATTTCTTTTTATTAAATTGTATCATCAATAAATAATAATTGAGTTGGACTTAATTGTTATTGTTATTAAATTATAGATATATTAAATGCTTATTCATTTAGTTTGTTCAATATATTCTTTAATTATTGATATTCTTAAAATAGTTTGAATTGTTCTAATTTAGAATTGATTTTTGTAATCTAACTTTGATTAAGTATTTTAATTTGATTTTAACAATTAATTTAATCATCTTGATTATTTTATTAATTAATTATTATTAAATCTAATTCTTTAAAAAAACTATATTCTGAATATTTAAATCCTATTTATTTTTAATTTAATATCCAATCTTTTGTATTATTAATTAATTGATCTAATTATTAAAGAACCATAGATTTTAAATTATTGATTTGAATTTAGAATGATTCAACTTATTTGATATTAGTTATAATTAGATTTTCTATAATATTTAACTATTACTATTTATTATCTTCAATCTTCTAAATAATTAAAAAAAATCCAATTGTCTTATATTTTTACTCTGATTCAAAATTATCAATACATTCCTAACACAAAAGTCTTTAATTTTATGTTAGTTTGGAATCTAGATTAACCATTGAGACATGTAATTCATGTCTCATTAAACAATGAAGATTTTTTTGATTTTCTATCATTTTTGGTTTATAAATTCTTTATTTAATTATATAAATTAATCATTTATTTACCTACCTTATAAACCATTTTATATAATACTAAAAAATATTTTATAGTTTAAGTAAAAAAAAATTAACAATTACAACAAAATACATCAAAATTATATTAAATTATGTTGCCTTTCTATATTTAAAAGAAGAATGTATAATTAATTTAAAGTTAAAAATACTAGGTATTTAAAAAATTGCATATTGATAAAAAAACATCAGAAAATATTCCTAAATAAAACTAGTTACTTAATTAATCTGAATATTAGAAATCATGAAAAAATGTTAATCTAAAAAATATTGGAATTAAGCATTTAAAAATTAGTGATTTGCTAGCGATAAAAATATTGATAAAATCTTTAACAATTTAGATTCCTTTATGACCATCAGCATTTAAATAAGTAGAATGCATTATTTTATATACAATTAATAAGCCTATAGGAATTAAGGAATTATTAAATTAATCAACGTGTAAATATCTAAACATCTGATAAATTTGTAAAAGGGTTAAATTAACAAAAATTTTGAATTATAATGAAAAATATAGAGTAGATTATAAAATGATAATACATAAATGCATACTAAGCCTAATTAAATAAGGATGAATATGATAATAACCCATATCCCAAAAGGACAACAAAATATAACAGCCTGTTTTGAGGATGAAATGACTATTTTTTACATTAAAGCAATATCGTATGAATTTATTCACTAAAAAACAGTAAGGATATTATTATAGAAATAATTTAAGAATAAAAGCTTAAAACTATAAAAGCTGGAATAACGAGAATTAAATGAGTTTTATCTACAGAGAATTTCGATCTCTTTATAAAAGAAAATTCCCATGATTTAAGACTTTTTAAGTAAAGAAAAATATATTTGTTAAGATATTATTATCAAATAAATAGTATAAAAAATTCATAAGAAAACTAAGGATTATTGGTGTTTCTAAATCATCTTACAAAAAAATACATTGATAAAGTTGAAAAAATGATTAAATTATTAAAAGAAGAGTAGTTTTTTGAACCTTCTTTGTTCTTTCTGCATCAGCCTATGTAATATTTCATATTACATATTAAATGTTTTCATTTTTTTTTCAAAATATTTAATATGTCATAAATAGAAAGAGAATAAGAACTTAAACTGCAATTTTTATGATAAATGAATTTATCTCTCAACATTATATATTTATCAATTATATTTAATTTCTAATTTGGTCTTTTCTTTTTATCCTCTATTATAGCTTTATAATCTTTCATCAATCATTTTTAGAAATGAATATTGTAATAACTTCTTCAAGATGTTTTTATTAAAATAGGATTACTAAATTTCCTTTATTATATAGACATAATTGAACTATATCATCCTTAATTTTTAAAACTTGCTTATTAATCCAATTACTTTACAAATTCATCGATATTGTTAGATTGACTCATTCCACATAAGACATAATGATTAAATGTGTTACCTAAAAGATTCTAGTCACCATACAATAATTATATTTAATGCTTAATCATTTTAAGTTGGTCAAATAATCATCCATATATTTGAACATATGTTCTTTCAAAAATATTTTGAAGTACTAGTCATAACTCAAATTCGAATAGTAGATTAATGGGGACAGACAAATAAGTAATTTGATATTTCAAGAAGATTCCTTTAAGGTTTAAACAAAAGAAATCATTATTATTTTATTGTATTAATTTTTGCAAATAATATTTTATTGACTCTTAATATATCCTAAATAATCAAATTTTTTTCAAATTATTAAAAAAAAATATGTTAAAATAAAAAAATTCGCATTAAATGTAATTATTGATGATTTATATTTCATTTATATTTATCATCAATTTTCATCTAAATTTATTCTTATGTGTTTTCAATAATATATCTTATCTTATTGTTTATAAAAATATATTTTTAATTTGTTGATTCAACATCTATTTGATTAAATAGTTTTATACTAATTTTTTAGAAGTTATGTTCTAATTATAGTTTGAGCCATTGAATATAATGATTAATCTTTATTTAAATATCATTCTGTAATGAAAAAGTTTGCAACTTTTATATTGATTTAAGTTAAGATTTTAATAATAATCTTAACAATCTATTATTAATTAATTATTAATTTTAGATTCAAATTGAATTCTAAATGTTTACGTTCTTCATAATCATTTCTTTAATCTGATAGACTTATAAATTAAAATATATATATATATAATAAATAAAATTTTTACTTTGTTGATCAACTCTAATCCATAAATATTTTCAGACTCACTCTTTAAGGTACTTAATTCCTATTGCTTTCCCTTTATGGAGAAAAAATAGCTAATTCTTAAACTTTAGAGAGTTAATCAAAATCTCTTGATTTATCTAAGTAATCGAAAATGATTCTCTATCTATACCAGTGATGAGGTATATAATAAAGGAATCAGGAAATTTAATTGGTTGTTATAAGCCTTGGGGAATGCTTCTGAAGTTCAATTAAACCTGCTGTTTAATTTAGTGTTTAGGAGGAAAGAGGAAGAATGAAATATCATCTTTTCTTGTAAAAATTAAATTATCAATTACTGATTCCTTAATATTGCTTATTATGATTAAAAAATACCTAGAATTAAATTTATGATAAAAATGTTGAAAGGATGATTTATTTGAAATAATAAAAAAAATTATAATATCAAATAATTTTATTTCTACTAAATATTATTTGTCTTTTTTAAAATTTTGACTATTATATTTTGAGGTATTTTTCAATGCTTTATCATTTAAGAAAATGCTTCTCCATCTATTTGCATTCTAAGATAATTTTCTTTTAAAGTTTTTAATAAAAATAATCACTTTATTTATTCTCATCACTATAGTTATAAGAAAGGATTTAGACTTTCTCTTACTTTTAAAGTTCAAGCATCTATTTAGACTTAAAAATATTTGTACTATGACCTATTACCTTTCTATCAAGATTCATAAACAAAAATAGAATCATGAACAAAAAGCATAATTATATTTATTTTCAACTTAAATAACACACCTTAATTTAGCATAAATTTAATTAAATTAAATATCTAAATCTGTTTGCTTTGAGTTCTATTAATGAAAAATTCAATTTGAATTTATCAATCTAATGATCAGTCAAAAGATTTTAAGTTACTATTATTCCATCTATACTTTCCCTTTTTTGATTTCAATTCAGCACCTTAATTAACAAGGTTTGGATTGAATATTCATTAAAAAAAAAAAATTCAACCTTTCCAAAGTTCAAACTTATAAAATTTAATCAAGGAGGGCAGAGTGAAAAGTTATGATGATGTATTTTGGAAATACACTTTTGAAAATGAATCTAATAGATCTATTTCTACTCTGTTAATTTCTCATAATCACAAGTCTAAGAGCAAAAATCCTAACAGAATGATAGACTTTTTTTGTCTCAATTTATATGAATTCGTCATTTATAATTATATATTTTATGGCATAAATAATAGCTAGTTACTATAGCCCTTTTTGATTGAGTCTTTATTGTTTTAGTGCAACTATCATAAAGAACAAATTCATAATCTTTTTATATGAAATTTATAAAACATAACTATGTTATCCTACAATTATTCTTCTATTTTTTTATTGTGTTTGCAACTTGTTATTATATTATAAATAATATTATTACATAGATGTGTGCAAATCCCTCTATATCTAAGTATTGAATTTCTATTAGGTTTCTATTAATATTCTGTAAAGCTTAAAGAAATGAACAAAATAACATCATTTTATTATTCTATTTTTTCATATGGAAAAATAATAAATAAATTAAAACTAAATTTACTACTTCATTTTTAGATATATAGTGAGTAAGCAATTACGAAAAAGAATTTTTAATAGGGATAAGATTTAACAAATTTATGGAATACTGATTTTTTATGAAATATCCTTTCTTTTATGTCTATTAAAATTTAATTTTTGAATTAGCTTGAAAGCCTAAACCGCCATAATTCACTTAAACCAAAGAATTTAACATAAATAAAAGGCCAAGAATGAAATTTAAGCGATGCCTCAAACTTGTTCTAAAATCAAAAAGTAATTTGTGATTAGATATTTATCTAATTTAGTT